TATATCTCTAAGTGTTTCCTTTTCTATGTAAAGGCTCGTTTAGTCTTTTGTATATGTCTTAGGGTTTTGCCTTTGTGCATATATATACTTTATCAAGTCAATAAAGATTGACATCTTTCTGCGCCACTTTGACAAGATTGGTTGCTCGATTTGCACAAGTCAAGAGTTGTTCTGCACTGTACCAGAAGTAAAAAAGAAAACCAAACCAGACCCAAGGGCTAAAGAAGTTGGACAAGTTGTAGTCCCAAACACTGGATTGTACACAGTGCGGCCCTAATTGTAAAATATTCTCATGCAGAACGTACCTCATGTATCTCTCTCTATCCTGGAATCTAGCCATCGGGATAAACTGTTTGGGGATTTTGTGGTACCAAATGTTCGATGGAATGATCGATAAAGAGTACAGTAATCAACAGCAGAGAAAGACAGCAAAATGCCCCGAGTCCTGGAAACTTAAGAAGTTCAAAAACAGAACAAGGAATAAGAGTTTTGGTACAAGAATAGATATGGTTTCAGGGGGAAATGGAAGCTAATGTCGACATTTGGCTTATGGGGAGAAAGCAGCTGCTTAAAAGGGGGATTCTCTAAGTTGTGGCGATTCAAGTTCAAAGCCAGAAGAGATATACAATCTGGTTTTAAATATGTCAAGGGGGTTCAGGTTTGGTTTGGTGGTGGTAATCAGGTTAATCTGTATGGCTACAAGCTGTTTCATACACTGTTTCTCATAGTACCGAGCAAGCGGAAGATAACCAAGTGTTTTAAGTCTAGGTGTTTCAAGTTCAAAAGCATGTTAATATCATCATTGTTCTGCTGTCACAGGGAGTGGTGAATCTATCTGAAATCCTGTTTGTGGTTTTGGATGAACAACTTGCAATCATAACAGAGTCTTATGGAAAAGCATCCATGAGTGATTCTCTTGCTAGTTTTAGACTGTGGATTTGCAATGTTCTGGCTTAAGAATGACTCTTCAAAGACACAAACTACCAACAGTTTCAGATCTCATGACAATAAGAGATTTGTCACTTTTCTTTGGAAGAAGATTATCCACCCAACTAGAAAG